AATTGAACAAACAAATAACTACTAAAAACTTATTTGATCCCTAGACAGCAACTATTCCCCAATCTACACCTCTGTGGCCTAGCCCTAGAACAACACAATGCTAATACACATATGTTCTGTGAACTCGGTTACTGTGATTTATAAACCACAGTAAACTTTTGTTAATTGATCAATCATAGTGGAGATGGTTAATCGATTAACAACAGATCTCACCTCTCCCCTTCCTGCTCCCGCCTTCCCCATCTTTTTATTGTTGCAATGTTTGACTTTTTGTACTAACTTATGTGTTTAATTTAGCTTTTATCTTTTACGATTATAAGCTGTTCAGAGTTACCTTAATTCTACAAATGAATAAATAACTTAAACCATGGCTTAATGCATGGGTAGACAACATGTTGTTCCACTTAGCTCATAGCATTTTTTTTCAGTACCATAGTATGCCAAGCTCACATTGCCAAGATCAGGTAGCAAAGTTGCCATATTTAGCATTTTTCAAAATCAGTCTCTCTCTCTCTCTCTCTGTGTATATATGTGTGTGTGTGTGTGTGTGTGTGTGTGTGTGTGTGTGTGTAATATATATATCTATCTTTTAAAATACTAAAATATATATATCTTTTAAAATACTAAAAATGCAAATTTTTTGGCCGGTTGAAAGCTTAGTAACTCTTTTTAACCACAGGCTTGTTTATATTAAACAGGCTGGTTTATTATATCCTGGTGTTCGTTTTTTCTTTTATCTATATCTATATCTATATCTATCTATCTATCTATCTATTTGTTTTCTGAGGTTTTTGCGGGTTTTGGGTTTTCTCCCATGTAAAATTGGAAGTGTCTTGGCGACGTTTCGACGAAGTCCCATTCGTCATCTTCAGGCTGGTGTTTTCAGCTTCTAGAAGCAAGCATTGCTCCTCGAAGCACGAAGCTGAAAACACCAGCCTGAAGATGACGAATGGGACTTCGTTGAAACGTCGTCAAGACACTTCCAATTTTATGCGGGAGAAAACCCGAATAACCAAAGACCTACATACAATACAAACACACGCGAAAACCTCAGAATATATATATATATATATATATATATATATATATATATATATATATATATATATATATATATATATATAATCTAATTTATTGGCCACCCATCTTACCACAAGGTTAAATAGGTGCATTCCTTACAACTATCTGCAGGCACCATCCCAAAAAATAGAGAAGAGTATTTCAATTCTGCCACCTCCATTGAGACAGTGTGACATCCCTCTCGCTCTTTCTACCACCTCTTAGCTGACTGATAAAAACAGAAAAGCATAGCCAGAAAGTTTTTCAATCTAATGTAGTGTGATGTGTCAATCAGGCCTATCACTGTTTCCCCAGGTTTGGGCCAAGAGATTAGATGAGCTCTGTTGTTGATGTGGTTTTCATAATTGGGTGTATTGGGTTGCATCTACCTTGGGCATCACAGGTTATTGTTCGCAACTGTTGGTTTTAATCTTTGTATGACTGTTGGAGAAAAAGATAAGTTTAAAGTGCTGGCAGAGTAGAATTGGAGCTTTTTGGGCCAGTGCAACTTACATAATTTCCCTGTTTAAAATAATAAGATAACTGAAGTTATTCTCTGCTCAGGCACTTCGAAGGAAATGCTTCATATTAGGACACAGATATCAAAGAGCAAAGGACTTCCTTGTTAAGTCTATAATGAGAAGAATGGATTTTAAAATGTATGGAGAATTCTTCTGTAGATGACACAAAACATAATTCAGAATAAAAATTACTGAATGAAATACTGAACCAAAGATGACATTCAGCCAAATATCCTTTACATATTAGGAAGGGTGTGCAGGGCTGGTTAATTCAGGGTCTGTTTAGACAGATTAAGATGAGTTCAAACAACAAACTGAACTATAAAACAATGGAAGGGGGTTTCCTACAACATGCTAAATAAAAACCAATCAGACCACATTTTGAGGGTTCCTTGGTGCTCTCTGAGCTTGATTGTTTTCTTGCAGACCTTTCATTACTCAAACTAGGTAACATTATCAGTGCTAGTGACTAGTTTGGTGAATGAAATATCTGCAAGAAATCAACCAAGCTCAGAGAGCTATAAATGTTCTCCTTATTAAAACCACATTATGGCTAGCCTGTGAAATGAATCTGTCAGTATCAAGTCACATCTTTATATATGTTAAAAAATAAAAATGCCCTTGGGATAAGCTCAACTGCTAGCTACGTTTTTATAGAAATAATTTGCCATTGTCACCTTCTGGGAAACACATTGTCTTCTCAGTTCTAGCTTCTGTGTTAGAACATAGTTATTATTCTATTCTGTTCTGTTCTGTAAAACAAAGGATTTCATTAGCCAAGTTGAGACTATTTCTTGAAAAAACTAGATTTTAATTTACCAGATTTACAAAAATATAATTGGATATTTTTTTAACTTCTGAATTTCCTCAGCCAGTCTCCCTTACTGTTTTTCTTTTTTATAGTAATTTTATTAAAACAGTACAAGCTAATGCAAACTAAAAGAAATAAAAGAAAAAGGAAAATAGAAGCACTGAGTGGTCAGCATTTTTTTATTAAATTGTATAAGTATCCATTTTGTTGGAAAATGTATAGGCCATTTTCTTTTTCTGTTCTTGGATATTGCAATTGTTTCTGCTCATCTGAATAATGTTCTCACACAGCTCCTCTTATGAGAGTTTACGTTGTTACTTTAATAGTGGAATACTTGGTTAGTGTGAATAGTTTTTTCATAGACTTGTATTTCTAATTTGCTGTCATTTCCTCTGCTGATGAGGATATTTTTATTTATTTGTATTTCATATTTCTTAACTTCTTCCTGTTCCGGCAAGCAGTGCTATCAGCTGAGAGATTCAGGATGCCAAGCTCTTCAGCTGAGTTTCTTCCTGTTTGGGGACCCTAAACGGGCCAGAAGCCACCCCGGAAAGGTGGCAATGAAGGAAGGTAGTCCCAGGGACCTAGGAGAGACAGCAGTCTCCCCGATTCGTCCAGGAGAAGCCTCCCAGAAACCAACAGGAGAAAAGCTGGCTAACTCCATTGTCTAGCCCCAGCTGCAAGCAAATGGAAGTCAAGAAGCTCTACTTAAGCTGATTGTAAACAGTGTGTTTGAAGCTGGGTAAGAACTAATTTTCTCTATCCTACTTATTTTCCTGAAAAAAAAAGAACTCCCAAGAAGCAAAAATACCTCTGAGAGTGAAAAAAAGAAGGGATTTCCCCCCCCCCCCTTTTGGCTATTGGAATCCCTGAATCTAACTCTTTAAGGGGGAAAAAGATTAGAAAGAACTGAAAAATGATCCAACGCTGACACCTACTGGTGGATGAGGACTATAAAAACTATAAAACCTCTTGTCTGTGGCCTTCAGTCTCAGTAAACACAGCTGCTTAGATAAAGTGTTATTTACAAAAACAATGGATGTTTTACAAGAGGAAATATATGATACGCTGCAATCCATTCAAAGGACAATGATCTCAAATCGCAAATACAAAATAACTTTGAAAGTCATGTGTCTTTTCCAATTGCTCCTTTATTATGGTATTATATTATTCTTTCTATATTTCTCTTTTAAAATTGCAATAAAATATACTTTTAATTATATTAAAACTGAAAGTTTAAATTGCTGCCTTTTTCAAGACCAGAATTTATTGTGTATAACATAGATATAACTAGTAAGATATTTCTAAAATCATAATGAAATATCAATAGTAGAGAATATACATAGCTCAGGGTTGAACTGTTGGGTTCTGACTTCTGAGCATATTTTCCTGCAAATATTTCATTACCAGGCTAGATAGTATCATCAGTGCACAGGAGGGTGGAGCTTGCTTATTATTAATATATAACAGCTTGGCTAGGATTAGTTTCAGGCTATATCTTTTAAACCAAGGGTGTCAAACTCGTAATGTCATGTGATGTGTCATGATGTATCATTACTTTTTTGCCATTGCCAGCAATGGGGTGGGCATGGTTTTGCTATGGTGCATCTGGCCTGCGGGCTGACAGTTTGACACCGGGTTCAAATTGTAGGTGATTATGTGCCATCAAGTCATTTTCAACTCTTAGTGACCACATACATTTTCTCCATGACTATCAATCCCTAATCTGTCTTTCAGGTTTTCCAACAGTGCATTCATCCCCATTGTAACTGAGACCATCTGTCTTGCTGCTGACTGTCATTTTATATCTTCCCCTTTTTTCAGCATGAAAGCTGGCTGGATAATCTTGGGTCAGTCATTCTCTCAGACCAAATCACTTCACAGGATGGTGTTTGTAGAGAAAATAGGAAACGGAAGGCGTATTAAATAGCACACTGATGTTTCTTGTCCTGTATATCAGGGGTCCCCAACTCCCGGTCCGTAGACCAGTACCAGGCCGCGGCATGGCAGCAACTGGTCTGCCCAAACAAGCAAAGCCCTATCCGCAGGATGCAGACAGCACACAAAACCATGCATCCTTCCAATCCACGGAAAAACCTCTCTCCACGGAACCAGTCCCTGGTGCCCAAAAGGTTGGGGACCTCTGTTGTATATAACTTTTTCATGCGGTCAATGAGTTATTCTGGAACTTCCATTATTTTTTAAGCAGCAATAATCTGAAATTCACCTATCCTACCAAGTGACATTTAGAAAAGAAAAAAATAGAGTTGGTGGAACATAAATTTTCTTTTTCTTTTTTTGATAGAAATGTATATTTCTGCCATTCTACAATACCAACAATATATTTTTAAGATTCCGAACATTTAGCTAAAAATCTGTGACTGACTATAAGACTTGGGACAGCTTTACTGAACAATCTAGGGATCTGACTAGCCCAAATGTACTGTAATTATTCATATATCTCCAAGTGTTTTGAAGATGGTTCACACTCATTTGAAAAGGATTCACCTTGTAATAGTTACAGGTAATTATAGTAATTATGAATTACCCACATTTTAAAATACAAAATAGGGGATGTTGTTTCTGAACCAATTACTGAACAAACACGCTAAAGAAATATTTATGTATTTTAGGAAAAAAAACAGTGTTTGCTTAAACACATTTAAAAATGATTACATTACAATGGAATTAGATTTAGTGCTTTGACAATATGTCAACCTTTAACATTTAATGGTCTGGAAATCCAGAGAGTAAGTTCTTGAAATATCATACATTGGAAGCATGGTCCATTTTTTTTATCCACACAGCATCTATTGCCCCATATTAACTGTGGTATTCAGCTATGTGAGATCTAGAAATAAGCATAACTAAAAGTAAAATCAGATGTTACAGCAAATATTATAGCATTCTTAAAACAAGTCATTTTGTCATCCAAATAAACATGAAGTGATATCAGCTCCAGAAGTTAAGAATTATTTTTAGCTGCCTCTGAATTATGTATGATCAGAATCTTGACTTCGTTGTTTTATCAATAATGGCCTTCACTGATATTCACAGCATCTTGCAATTCATTTGTTTTGTCCATGGAAAATAGAGCCTAACCATGTCTAGGCTCTATCATATATTATATAGATGAGTCAGGACTAGCAATACACAATATTATATGCACACATAAAAAAGATGGAATTTTTAAAGTCTCTCTAGTGAAGTTTGATTCCTGATGACTATATAGAATAGTATGAAGGTTGGTGAAAGGGGAATGATTTGTTAGATTTTTTTTTTTTGTCTATAAATAGTCTTGTGATACTAACTCCATTCAACTCTGCTTAGCTTTTCGCAAATCAGCCAAAATTGGCAAATTGCTGTCACTTGCTATGATTGGGAATTTCTAATTGTACATACATTTCTAGGAATTCAAATGTGTTAGGCAACAAAGGCACTTTTTGCTTTCAAACAGTCCAAATGTATCTTACCAAAGTTTAGAGAACTTATCAATATAGGTATTTTTTTAAAACCACAGATAGCAGGTAACACAAGAAACTGACCATAAGTTTCAGTGGATCAATTACATTTTCATATGGGCACAAAAATTTCTGAAACAGTATATTAAACATTCTGAAACATTAAAAAAGACAATCCACACATAACACAGCAGGCAACTTACAGAAGCCATTCATCCTATAAAGAAAGCCATTTCCTTTAAAAAGGATCAACACTTGATCTAAGTTTGCACACTATTATCTGCTGTATCAGGAATATCCTTTTAGTAATGGAAAATGTTTAAAAATATTAAGCAGATTAAATCTTGTTTTCTATTCAGCAGTCCAGTAAATATGTATGGCATCTACAGCAAATTATTAGTGTAATTTTAACAGCATTATTATAATCGGTTAGAGGAAAAACAAGGACTGGTAACTGGAAGCCCAGCTTGCAATAGATTTTTTTCCACATCTAAATTTTAATTTATTAGCAAAATAAACTAAAAATCCAATTTGTTTTGGATTCTGCAGAATTAAATGAATCAGTGAGATTCTTTTCTAAAATAAAAGCAAAGGTATCCTTGATCAGCTGAGGAACATGGTTGTAAAAGTTATTTTAAAACACTATTTTTTAAAATCTGCAACTAACAGATACTATCAGCATGTACCACACTCTTATTCAAGACTATGCACTTATTTTAGTTATACATCTGTTCATGATAATTTGTGAGCAACAATTCTATATAAATCTGTGTGCTTGCTTTCCTAAATTTCCTAATATAGGTAGTCCTCGACTTACAACCGTTCATTTAGTGACTATTTGTAAATGTCTGTTCAAAGTTACAACACTTATGACTTTCTTAACTGCCTTGCTTAGCAATAGAAATTTTGGGCTCAGTTGAGGCTGTAAGTCAAGGACTTTCTGTACATGAGATTTATTTGTCACTGCTGTGCATTATTTCAAATGTTCCCCATTGAATTCTTTTTTTCTTAGCGCTACAGAAAGAGATGATCAGTGATCTGGAAAACACAGCAGACCATCAGGAATAATATATTGTTGCGGCCTAGGTTAACCACTACAACATCCTCTGCAAATGTAAATGCAGGAAATTTCAAGAATTGAAAGAACGCAAGAATTACAAATGTTACCAACTTTTAGAGAAATGTTTTATATGCTGAAGCAAACAGTTGTTTGAAAATTGCTTCCATCACCCAAATTAGCTGATTTCACCTACTTCAGTATACAAACTGCTTTTTTAATTAACCTATGTCTCATTTGTGATGAAACAATATTTAATACAAGTAAACCCCAGATGGAAAATTACTAATGTATCACTATGTGCTTCTCAGATTCATTGGCAAACATGCAGAACACAGAGCCAAAAATGACATTTAATATTCAGGCTCTTGGAATTACAATTTCTAAACTGCAAATGCTAACCAAGAAGTGTGATTTCTCAATGATTCTTCTAAGCCCAACAATTCGCTGTACTTCTTTTTAGGTGGTCCCATGTTCTGTAGTAGTGCTTCTGTAATTTACACAGCTAACTGACTTTTAGAAATCAAGCAAATTTCACTATCTACCAGTGTATATGCCACATATCTACCACAGAACAAAGGAATCACACTAAGAAAAAATGGAATGCTATGTAGCATGGAGCAACATGCAAGGGACTTTAAACAGTATCAATTTATTGCTCAGGTGACATCAATTTCTCGAGAAAATGAGCTCTATTTTGCTTGGTTTAATATTAACACATTAGGCATATGAACACATTATTTTATGGTCCTATATAATGCTGTATGTAATTAGCTTCAGATCAAATATGTCTGAAATGATCCATTAAGTTATATATTTAGGAAATAATATGCCAACTTTCTTATTGTGGTGATTAGATAGTTTGGATTACAGTGGTTTTCTACCCAACTTGGAATGTATGCAGTAAAATGGCAATATTGCGAACTAGTAAACCACTTAACAACCACAAACTCAATTTCTATTGAAGTCATTTCTGTCCTTCAATAAACCACATCAATCAGATAAGTAAAACAGTCAAACAGACAGCTTTTATATACCTCACATTTTAACATCTACTTTCAGTGAAGGCAGTTCACTCACCCACTTGCAAGTGAGATGATACACGGGATTCAGGACCAGATTTTGGATATATAATATAAATAGTAATCCAATCAACTACTCCTCAGCATTAGAGAAAGGAAAACTCACAGCTCCTTTTCTTTTATAATAGAGGTACGGAAGCTACTGAGGAATCCAGCTCCAAATTTGTAAGGATAAATGTACAGTATCAGTTTAAACCTGCTTTTAAGCAGCAGGAAAATTACAGTAAATTCACCCTTTACTCCTCTAGTTCCATTTTATGCTAGCTCTTCACCTCTGGTTTCACTGCACAGCAGTAGCCTGGAGAGAGCTTTCAAAATGAATAATGCTAATGAAGTTGATTCCCTAAATACATTTCTTCACTAGTAAGCCTAAAGATACTGTGCTTGACAAAGATATCAAATGAGTAAATAAGTTTAACTAAAAATAGAAGTGCAGAAATAGCTGGGATAGAAAAGATTTTTTTTCTACATAAACTTCATACAGCCATGTTTTATGACTGATAATGGAATAACAGCTGTTGACAATATCCACAGCTAATAAGTGGTCCTGATGAAAATACCAGTACCTTCAAGCACAAGGTAAATGGAATGTATTGTATTTAAAAATAGAAAATAGCAGTTAACTGCTATTTCCTCAGGAGAATCTTAATCTCAAAGTGCCTTTCAGTCAATGATGCAAGGAACTCTGACAACAAAGCCCAGTGACAGTAAATATTTTCTGCAAAATTCCCACATACAGTTCATTGGGAAGCCCAAATAGAAGAATAATACAATAAAGCCAAGCATAGTTAATACTGGGTTACACAGACCAATGTACTGAGTCAGCTTCAAACAATCAAGACGGGTCAGCTAGGAACCAGAGCTGCAACCTGCATGATAAGGCTTAAGGTCTAGCTTGCCTTTTTAAAGAGGCACTTGATAATCAAATAATTTTACTTTTGTTATAAAAAGGGGGCCAGAATTAAAGATGTTAGACTAGGTGTGATTAATCTAATGCACAATAGGAATTTTTTACATAGTATAGGAAATGTGACAAATATTATCCTGGTTTAAAACGGTGTACAGGAAATCAAGCATTATGTTACCATACAATGCTGTGTAATGGCTTTTTTGGAATAGCAAGATCATAATTCATTCCAGCCTTCTTTCCAGAAAATGAGATGTTATTTTTTTCAAGGCATTTGGCCTCTAAAGTTCCCATATAATCAGTTTCTCTGTTTGAACCTACCCAAGAAAGAAAAGTGAAAAATCCCACACATAACGTATGAGATTTTCTTTGCATGCTCAACTGAGCAAAGAGGTAGATGTTCAGAAACAGTATCTTCTGATGCTGATAGAATGTTTTAATATTGATCAATTGGCAACTTGCATGATACTGGCCAAGGCATCATCATGAAATGCAACACAGTGGAATTAAGATTCAGCTTTGAACTTGGATGGATGATTCAAAGGCAGCTGAAATAGATAAATGTTTTGTTAGTTCTGTTCTATTAGACATAAAATATTATTAGCACAGATTTATCTCAGAACGTCTCTCCAAAATCCAAGAAGAACTACACGTTTAATTCTGATTTACAGACACTGAACTAGTGCATGACAGTATAAAGTACAGGCAAATGAAATTCCAGAGGCCAGTAGGCTTATAAGCACATATGTCTTTTCATCCGGAGTGTTCTATAAAAACTGCAAGAACTTTCATTTTTATAAAATATAATGCAGAGACTGGGTACCAATCAACTTCAATTGATCTGCAACATAATAAGCCAACATTCTCTACCAGTAATTATGAGAGTACCAAGTTACTTTTTGCTAAACCTTTTAACATAAGTAAGTTTTGTAGAGACATATCCAGAGTAATATCAGCTTGATGGCAGAAAAGTATATAAATTTACAAATTGCCTTCAAAATACCTAATAGTTCAAAAATGTTATATTGTACCTCAGTGTCTCTCAACCTTAGTGACTAAGAACTGCAGACTTCAACTCTCAGAATGTGCTGGCTGTGGAATTCTGGGAGTTGAAGCCCACTGATCTTAAGGTTGCCAAGGTTGAAAAACACTGCTGTATCATATTTGTCAAACATAAACTATCAGCTAGTCTAATCCTACCTCATCACATCACAAGACAAGACACCCCCATGCAGCCTTGATTTCCATCTTCATTACTGTTGAGCCTTTTCATTCGATACTGACGGATTTCTCTAACCAATGTATAAAAAGCATCTTCAACACCCTGAATGGAAAGTTGAGAAACATATGCTCTTAAGTGAATTATTTCCTATACTTTATTTTCTCACATTCCTCCTGAAAATCTCTGTACTGAATTTACCAATAATGTTCTTCATTAATGTTAAGAATCCTCCTCTATTCTTAAAGAATTAGGATTTTGCATCCCAAACATAAACTATTTCTTACACAGCTATTCACAATTAAAATGCAGGAAAGTGGACTGCACTTCTTCAAAATTCAGCTGCTAGATTAGTAATTAATATAGATATGCAAATAGGACTAGGCATTGTGGTTCTTAGAAATTAAAAACTGAAATAGCCCACAAGATGGCTGCTCCTACCCATAGGTGTTAATGTCTTCCTTATCAATCAGATTTGTCCATATACCTAACAATAACGCTAGCTATTTTCTTGAGATATGAGCAGCAAGACAAGAATTCATTACCTGTCTTGTTTTGGCAGATGTTTCAATGAATGGAATGCCATAGCTCTTTGCTACTTCGTGAGCCTGCTTGGTGTCTACTGTTCGTGTTGGTAAATCACATTTGTTTCCCACTAATACCATTGGTACATCTTCTGAATCTTTCACTCTTTTAATTTGCTCTCTGGGGAAAGATATGATGGGAAAAAAGAAAATGAATCTTTCTGGGAAAAGATATGATGCGGTATGTTAATGGAAGAGAGAACACATACCTTCTGTGCTTCTTTTTGACACTGTTTATGCTGTCATTGATGAACAGACCAACCAAGATAAAACTGCTACCTGCCTCTGATTAGTGAAAAGGCTTGCAGTCCTGAGGGAATTATTCTGCCAAAATAATGCCCTCTATTGGAGGAATTAAATCCAATATTATATGGTATTATTTTCTAGATAACAGTGGATAGAAATGAAATCAAATTTGCTATTATGCTAGTAAAAAAATTAGGTTGAAAAGATGTCCTTCAAGTCTATTTTATGCTTACTTTAATCCAGAGGTGCCCGACCCCTGGGCCACAGCCTGTTGAAAAGTGGGCCGCACGAGTGATGGGCAAGCGTGCACGTGATAAGCGTGCATGAAGCTCCATTTGCACAATGGAATGGAGTTTTGCACACAAGCACCCTCTCCTTGCACAAATGGAAGTTTGCATGTGAGCACTCTCCGCTAAAGTGCCCTCCTCTCACGCAATTGAAGTTTCACGCACAAGCACCCGTTTCGTGTGTGAGCCCAAGTGTCCTTCACTTGCAAACAAAGTTCCGTTTGCACGAGTGGAGGGCACACGCTCCTCATACCAACAGACTTTCCCCGAAAATAAGACCAGGTCTTTTTTTTTTTGCTTCCAAAAGAGGCACCAGGTCTTATTTTCGGGGGATGTCTTACTCACCTCCAGCCCTGACAGCCGGTCCACTTCTTCTGGGGCCGAAAGAACAGCTTCATTCTGCAGCTGCATTCCGCAGTCAGGCCTTTCCAGAAGGCCTATGCAGCTGAGTACTAAGCTATGGATTCAATCCATAGCTCGGCCCTTGGCTGTAAAGATCTTGCAGTACCGAGCTATGGATTCAATCCATAGCTCGGTTCTTGGCTGCGGTGGCCTTCTGGAAAGGCCTGTGACTGAGAAATGCAGGCCTGCCTGCAGAAGAAGCTGAAGAAGTGGGCCGGCGAGGAGAGGCCTGACTGCAAGATAAGTGGGTGTGGGGGGCAGGGGGCAGATCCACACCCCTGCCCTAGCTTGATTTTTAAGTGTGTGCCTCGCCCCAAAACTAGGGCTTATTTTTGGGGTAGGCCTTACTTTCGGGAAAACACGGTACTTACATGCCCTCCACCTGTGCTGGGCCAGGTCACCAAGGGGAAAAGGTTGGGGACTGCTGTTCTAATCCATTCAGTAATCAGATGTTCTTAACATATCACAACTAGTGTCTGCTACATTTTCAAAGTTATATTTGGCACTGATATACAATATTAAGTAAAATATCTCAGCAGTTACTGATCATTGCCTTACTAATCATCTCTCTTTTAAAACTATGACAGCTAGTAGACAATGTGCCACTCAATCTTATCTCTTGTCACTAATAAGGAGAACTTACCTGTAAAGATTTATATCTGCAAATGATTTGCTGTTGTTAATGGCGAACACACAAAGAAAGCCTTCCCCAGTTCTCATATATTGGTCCCTCATGGCACTATATTCCTCCTGTCCTGCCGTATCCAGGATGTCTAGCAAACAAGTCTCTCCATCAATAACAACTTGTTTACGGTAAGAATCCTATGGAAAGTAAGTAAGTATCCAATCATTCAATGTTAATGAGCAAAACTATTTTTGAAATTATAACTGAGATAAGATGAGAAAGAGTAGAGAATCATAATATCTTAAATTTTAAAAATTCAGTAATCTAATTAAACATCATATTCATATTTAATTTTCTCCCTGTTTAAATTTTTTATACATCACCTAGCTTCTTTTGTGACATGGCTTATAACATTAAAGCTTAATATGGGTCTCATGTTTGATTGTTCATCCTTACTTTTATCCTACAACATCTTCTGCCGCATGCTTCCTAGCAAGTCTTTTCCAATTAATTTTTCAAGGCAGTGAAAATAAATATCAGAAACCAGCAACTGACAAACCAGCAAAAAGTGATAAAACATGTTTAAGCATAAGTACAGCTTCCATAAACAGAACGAAAAGTAAAGCCTTTTCTGGATCATACCATGATAGGAAGGAGAAAATGGTTTTATGTTTGAATTACATAATAGTATATACATATACATAAACCTAGCACTGAAACAAGCAAATAAAAAAGCTGGGTGGATACTGGTAATTGTGTATATCTAGAAAAACATGCTTCACCTGGAGCACTGTAACAGTAAAGAAAACAACATACACTTAGTATGCTAAGATATTAATGTTCTCAAAACCTTAATATTCTCAAAACCTTACCTCAATAGTAGGATCATATTCATCTACAAAGTGATTCTGGATAAGCTGGATGGTCAGGGCACTTTTTCCAACACCCCCAGCTCCTACTACCACCAATTTGTACTCAGTCATTGCCTTCCTTAGGGCCCTGTTAGTAACATAAATATATATTACTCTAGGTACAAATCACCCTTCATTAAAGTATCCTAGGGGCATATAACAATTATATATACTGCACCATGAGATGAGTGGCAAATAAATTTGATAAAAAATATACTTCAATATTACATTTTAAAAAAAGTAATTAGGAACAATATAGTTAACAAAATAAAACACAATTCACTTATCCAATCATAAGTAACAATGACCAGCTTCATTACAAGGATCTGTAATGAATAGATAAACAATTTTAGCAATTCATCATCTTCTCTTAAAATACAAAAAAACCCCTCTTCATCTCATCTTTTCCTACACTACTTTTTTTCTTTTTATTCTCTTATTTTCTTAATCTCTTATCTCTGCAGTTTGTGTTAGTCTCTCTCTCTCTCTCTCTCTCTCTCTCTCTCTCTCTCTCTCTCTCTCTCTCTCTCTGCCTCAGTTGGCACTGACACATTTCTTCGATAGACTGGAGTAAAAAAGGGATTAATTTACATATCCAGGTCTTCCATTCTTTTAGGACAGATATAGAAAATATGCAGTCTACAAACTGTATTGTAGCACCCAAAAATTATCCCATCAAGATTCAATGCAAAATGATTTATTTTCAGTGATGCAACATTTTATTTTATAGAATTATGCATGAGAATGGAAGCAAAAAGCTTCAACCAAAAAAGAAAAACAAAGAAAAATAAGGATCATATTGTTAAGAGATTAGGATTATCTATTAAATTTATCTATTTATCTAATTCCTATCAGGATAACCATTTCAGCAATAAATCCAGGACTGTGATCTATCTCATTTACTGATGAAATAGTTATCCTAATAGAAATTTAATTGCCAGGAGAGCAATAGGAAGCATGTATTCTAAAATCAAAAGGAACTTTTGATACTGACTATCACTTGAATTGATTCAGGTTTGGGAATTTAGGACACTTTTTTTTTTACCCTGCTTTCAGGATCTGCCCAGTAAGTGATGAGGCACATCTGAACTCTTCATGAAACTTGTGCCATATAATCCTAAGGAACATTGTTCTATATTCTATACTTTTTAACATCCACATTTGGAATGGACATTTTCTCAAGTTGTTCCAGAGTTCTCCAAATGGGGGCAGCACTTGTCCTAAAGTTCTGGGACAGCTTCTTTTTTATTTAAGCATGTACACACCACAATCTTATTCAAGATTTTGGGACTTCCTCTCTTCATCAAAGAGTCATCAATCTATCTAATCCATCCAGTCAATCCCATTATTAGGTACTGCCATTTATGAAGATTTTTTCTCTCTCTGACCTAACACTAATATAACGCCTTAAATTCAGATCCTAAGTCCCAGCAAAATAAATTATCCCTTTCCACTCCAGCTACTCAGACTGGCATAACTGTGTCAAGTCACTCTGTATAAAACTCCCAACCAAAACAAATGTGCTTTTCAAGACTACATTTGCAAAATTTTAATAAGCACCCAAGAAAAAAATACTTTTGACATTTGGTGTAAGCTAAATACAGAAAGATAATACATGAACAATTGGTCTGAACCCAATTCTTAACTGTAAGGGATACCACATACATTATTAGCCTTTCTGCTAAATAAGTATGTAAATGAGAAGTGTACATTATATTGAACATGATATAACTTCTACACCACCATGTCACCAGTGACTCTAGGCAGTTTACATGTATCAGATTGCACGGATGGTAAAATGATTCAAATTCATATTCCGTGAAGAAAGAAAATTATTCAGTGGTCTTGTGTAAATTAGTAATCCCACATATTTTGTAGGATTGTTACTATGACAGGAAATCCCGTTTCCTTAATAAGAGAAGGAACTTTAAAAAAGCAAACCATATTTTACCTTAGGGCTGTCTATGAACCTAGCCACAATGGCTTGTAAACCACAGCTTATTGAGAATCATGCCAGCTATGGTTTACTCTATAAACCATAGTTAAATAAAACCTGATGGCGTGTGTGACTAAACAGAGCACAAGCCAGCCTTACCGACCAGCTCCTGGCAGCTGGTAAAGCTGCACTAAGCCCTCAAGATCCTAGTCAGAGAATAACAAGCCTCGCAGGACCACTCCATTCTGCCTCCCTCCCTCCACACGCAGCCGAATTGAATGCCCTGCCCTCGGAGGCAGAAAGGGCTCTCCTAAAGGGGCATCAAACACATCGGGCACACATCGAAGACAGGGAGATGGGATTCGAGCGGGAGCGACGGACACACCCAACTCTGGTAGCAAATACCTTCCAAGGCAGCGCCTCTCAACAGCGGGTGGGGATCGACGAGAGACCGCTGTCTCTCGTGACCGGGATACGCCGTTTCCACGCTTCCTCCCACCCCAGACTTGGAGAGAAAGGACTTCAAGGAGACCCCCCCACCCACCCTCCCTACCCAACGGCTAGCAAGTTAAGTATGAACCTCCTCTTACTTCACTTCCAGGCTTCGCGGTCGCCGGAACGCCCTTCCGACGTAGCACAGCGCTGGCGTCATCAACCGGTGCCGAACGTCTCGGGAGGGAGCTGTTCCCGGAGAGAGCTGGAGTCTGGCTACGGTTTCATAAAGGCAGCACCCGAACCCATTCTCTACGCACTATACGAAGGCTTAGGACTCGCTGTCCAAATTGGAGAGGTTAAGGGTATATTCCTGAGAGGAGACTTGGGAAAAAAAGTTTTTCTGGTCTCCAGTTACAGATCCCCCTGCTGTCTTTCTTCAGCTTATGGTAGAGTTCTCCAGGCTGCTCCGCATGCCTGGCTAGAATTTCCAACTAGCAAGGAACATCAGATTTGGAGGTACAATACAAAGATTACGGAGTCGTTTTATTGTGGGTCAGTCCGTTGCCCATGAAACCCAATACTGTGAATTCAGTAAAGTCCGAGGAGGGTGTTCTGAGTGTGTAAATGCACCGCACGTGTATCGGAGCTCATGGGATCTTGGTAATATACCGGCAGCACGTTGGTTTGCCGAGTAGTATTAACAGTTCTTAGCTTGTAAAGAACAGCGTAAGGATGCTTGAGATAAAGCTAGGCATTGCTTGTGCTTGTAATATATTGGTCGAAAGGTGGCAAAAATGACTGGTAATATTTCCTTCTCTTTAAGCAGGGTATATTCAGGTAGTAGCGATACAACTAAAACCAGTAGTCTAGGCTATGCATTGTACCATGCAATGAAGGCTAGTGGGAACCCATCTGGTGAAGATTATGGCAAATGGAAAGTTGAAACATGAAATCTGAGAAGATTTGTAGAATATTTGTACGGTTACTAAGAATCAACATCAACTTGATGGCACATAAGTAAATCTAATCAATGGGAATGATGCTAATATGTCAAAGATGGAATTGAAATCAATGCTTTCAATATTAATTTTTCCTTGTACCTCATAAATATTGGGAGAATGTTGAAAATTGTGATGCTATAATTGAATATAATGGAATAGTTGTGTAGTTTATTTTATGTATGCATAAAAACTTTATCCTAAGCCCAGTGATTTGAAAAGTGTTTCTTTTTACTAAAAGAAAAATTATATCAGGCCCCAAAACCAAGAAAGACATGCAGTTGTTCCAAGCAGAATTCTTTATTGTTCCACACCTATAGACAGAATCTTGCCAAACTGAAGCACTCCATTATTTACATCAGGCATTATCTGAGAACTATTAGGGAGGGGGTTGTCTTCATCCTCTTACCAAGTATCTGGACTGAGCTGTCTCTTATTCCTGGACTGCTCTGGATGCCCCTCTCTTGTAATCTTGTAGTATTCACTACCTTATTCCTGGACCCTCTCTCTCTTGTAATCTTGTAGTATTCAGACTACCGTGTATGCCGGCATATTAGGCGACCCGGCGTATAAGACGACCCCCATCTTTGGCGCCAAGTTTAGCGCTTCCGGAAGTCGTCTTATACGCCGGCATATACGGTACTACATTCCATCACAATTAGCAAGGGTATATAGAAAAATTATAGCTGGATTTGTTTGTTATATATGTTACACTGAAAGGGAACAAGAGGACAGTGATCAATATTTGGGAAGACAAAATGTTGCTTTATTTCAAATAGTAGGCAGTTTAGGGGCTTTTTTCCCCTTTAGGTCATGGAGAAATGTATGTACACTGAGAAAGTGTATAACGCTAACTAGGCTTGAATTTTAGAACATTTTGTGCAATTCAACAGTGAATACAGAGGAAGAGAAAGATGTATGTTGTTCTTTGGTTGTGTACAGGTAGTCTTTATTCAATGACCACTTGTTTAGCGATCAGTTACAGCAGTGCTGAATGAGACTTATCATTGGTCCTCATGCTTGCCACCATGGCAGGATCCTTGCAGTTGCATGATCATGATTCAGGTGCTTGGCAACCTGTTTGTAATTACATTGTAGCACTCCAGGTATGTGATAACTATTTGCAACATTCACTGCCCATTTCCAACAAGCAAGATCAACAGGGAAGCTGGCAAGAGGTCGCAAATGGTGATTGTGTGATATTGCAACAAACAACCATGTGGGATTCCCTCAATGTCAACAACTGGAACTATCAAAATGGCTGGAATCAGTGTGGTTGCATGACATGTTTTATGACTGCATTACTTAAAGCAGACTATCGGGTTCCAATTACTGTTAATTAAGGACTACCTGTGATACATGTAACAGTAAATAGGTAACAAATGCTTGTACTGAGATTAGAGATATGTTGACTGGGAATGTAAAAGTGCATGTACTTTCACATGTAGATGGTGCTGGACAGATAGTCCTTGACTTACAACAATTTGTTTAGTTACCATTCGAAGTTTCAACAGCACTTCAAAATGTGAGTTATGACTGGTTTTCACACTTAAACTGTTGCAGCATCTCCATGATCACATGATCAAAATTCAGACGTTTAGCAACTGGCATGTATTTATAATGATTACAATATCCTGGGGTCATGTGACCTTTTGCAACCTTCTGACAAAGTCAATGGGAAAGCCAGGCTCACTTAGTATCTATGTTACTAACAACTGCAGTGATTCACTTAGCAACTGTGGCAAGATCGTAAAATGTGACAAAATTCATTTAACAAATGTCTTGTTTAGCAACAGAAATTTTGGGCTCAATTGTGATTGTAAATCCAGCACTAACTGTATTGTTGACTGAAAATCTGCATGATTTTCACCAAATGCTTGATGGATTTTATGATGTAAAATAAATGACATGGTGTAATATGTCGTGTTGTTCATCTGAAGTTACATTTACGTACTTTTAAGAACTGCAAAGCACTATGTCTTGATACATAAAACCATAGAACTCAAAGGTGTACTTTCTTCTGTATATATATTTATGGGTTATCGGCAGAACCATCTTCTCCCTATTACATTGGGTCGCCTCACCTGGTTAGGCAGACCCTTTCAGTTCAAAGAATTTCAACTGGTAGGGTCCAGGAAGAGACCCTACTCTGCTTCTGCCCCCGCCCTTTAGAATTTTCTCTAAGATGTGAGGTGGGCCTCTACTCTCCTGGCCTTTTGGAAGTATCTGAAGACTCTGCCAACTCACCTGGGTTTCTCAGAGAAACGCATGTGTAAATATATGGGATATATTTACATTTTTTGATTGTACGCTACCCAGGATCACACTGCAAGATGAGCAGTTTCTAAATTTGATGTATAAAATGTTCCTGCACACTTTGAAAGTATCTTTCTGGTACTGAATCCAAAGCATAATCCTATTAAATTAGCTTCAGGCCTGATCCAGAATTATTTTGATTCAGGATCAACATCTACAAACTCAATTATTGTAGCAAAATTCAGTATTCAATATTTAATACTAACAATACTAAGCCAGAAATTTGGATTATAGATAGGTCACAATTAGTGCAAGTTCAAATAATGCATATTTGGTTTAGTGTGAATTGTAAATTGATACCAAGTCACGTTTAATACCAAGTCAGTTAATCGGATGCTAGTGCATGTGCAAATGTGGTTGGGATTTTAGATGTTGATCTTCATGTGTACAAAATGGAAAAAAGACTAAGAAAATGTTACAAGTTTTAAAAAGAGGTTCGTTAGAGTTACATTGCCTGGTCATAAAAATGGGGGAAAGTCTCGTTTTTTATCTAGGATCTGGAACGTCTTCTGAAAACATACAAATTGGCCAAGGAGGAAAGTAGGTGGGAGATATTTATGAAAAAGTTACAAGACAGAGGCAAATTTTCAAAATCAGTAAAACTTTATTCTATTTCCATTCTTTGCCATTAACAGAAAAATTGGAGAAAGCAATGTTTGTTTTACAAAGATAATGCATCTCCCAGAGAAGAAAAACCCTAAATTGAGAATAGAGGTAACATGGAAAAAACACAGTACTGCCCTCTATTCAAAGTAAATAACTCCTGATCTTTTTGGTTAAAGTAATACTTAGACCAATCATTCAGTTTGCTTGCTTGATAAAGTGTGGCTGAGGGAAGGAAGGTATGGGGACGGGCCTGGAAGGGGGGGAGAAAAAAAAAAGCACACAGACATCAACTATTTCACCTTGATGAAAGTCTCAATACAGCTATGGAAAGCCTAAGTATTCTTTTACAGTATACTGGGTGTTGGCTGCAAAAAAAATGTATTCACTTCAGGCACAACTTTTTATTTTTTTTTTAATCAGTAAAATAAACCAGGTTTAGAAGCTGCAGTGTTGTAAGCAGCAAATTGTGCATTGTTTTAAATATCTTTAAGTTACCATACTGATGGCACACTTTATCCTTATGAAATTCTGCACTATGCATGCTAATTGCAATTTAAAAAAAAAAACTAGTAGTCTACTTTGGAAAATACGTTCAATGAGATCTAGGAGATAATTTTGCTTGCTAAATGGATCTGAATTTAAATGAGACATAAAAAAACATTAACATTTGGCCGTCAAATAAATGTTTGAGAACTCATACAGGATTCTATATAATACGGTTAGTATATCTATCCTCACGAGCCTCAAAACTGCATGAAAATGAACAGAAAATCAGGCTTTCCTGCCTTGGAGAGGACAAAATAATTGAGACCTAAGGCATAGTAATACCTTGGCAAAATTGAATCAAGGAAAATATATGCATGTTGTGTCTATATATATATATATATATATATTTCTTTTCAGTGCAGAATTTCATAAGGTCTTCCAGAATAGAACTGTCTATAATATTTACTTAAAGAGGCAAAGTAGATTTGCAGTTACCAGTTGCTTTAAATGCACCATTCAAAAAGCTTCTAAAATGTGTTAATATAAGGCGCCATCTTAGGTTCTCCAGGATGCAACTGTGCATATTTTAAAACTGTTTCATAAATTTATTTTTAAACATAACATGAGGAAGGTGTTAAAACTGGTGTAATAGCTCCTTAGATTTTGGAAGGGATGAATACAAGGCTATT